CATTGTTGACCACTTCTGACCATTGTTGACCACTACTGACCACTACTCATAAATTGAATTTTTGAATTTTTGAATTTTTGAATTTTATAGTCATACCAGTTTTTATGCTCAAAATTTTGTGTGTGTGAGATTTTTATGTTTAAGTTCCAACGGTCGTTTCAGACTCTCAAACTAATAGCCTGGTTAAAAGTTAACAGATATATACAATATATTGATTAATCATTTTTGATTTTTATATTTAAGTTTTCCACACATTTGTCACTATATTATTGATTTATAAAATACAAATCACTTATAAAAGCCATTAAAAATAATTATTTAGACATTAATTAAAAGGAATAAATCATAAGATTTTTATAAACAAATTAATTTTCACTTATAATATATGTATAGTATTATTAAATTGTTTATGCAATTGAAAATGTTTTGTGAAATATCTTATGAAAACTTTATACTGTTTAGAAATGTACTTGTTAAGAAGTATGAAAACACTACTGGACATTAATATGTGGTTATTTAGATTTAAATTGAGTTTAAATGTGAAAAACTGCGCAAAACTTTGCATAACATTAGTATGTGTTTTGAGATTCATATACCAGTCGTGGAAACTAATCGCACAATGCATCAGCGGTCAGCCTATAATCAACATACGGTTGGGTCGCCTACACGACGAGCCCCTACCATATGCTACCCGTCCAACATGTCCACCATTAAGACTTTTATTAATAGCAATTATTAGATAGTTAAAGATATAATATTTTAATTATCAAAACTCAAACGAAATGTTGTTTTACTTATAGTGTTTGATTTTATTACATTTTATCTAATTATATGATAGTTTTATCAAAACAGTTTTATAACAATCATTGTAAATAAATATTTCTTATTAACCATATATTTAATCAATAGTGACTTTGTTTGTGATGTGTTTTATGTATAATTAATTTTTTAAAACAATTAATTCACAAAATATATGCATATAAGATATCATATATTAGATATCATTTTTTAATTAAGAAAAAAGTGAAGATAATATGATTAAATCGATTCAATTGTTTCATGTTTTCGACGACAGAATAGGATATAATGTATTGTTTGTTACAAATGATGACATGGTTTACGGTTTGGGATCTAATTATTACGGGTCACTTGGTTTGGGACACAATCTATACGTCAATGAAATCCAAGTGATCGACAGATTGTGTCACAAGAATATCACACAATTCTTCAATGGAGTAAACTTTGTGTTAGCCCTCACTCAACACAATAGTCTCTATTGTTGGGGTCGTAAAGATAAGGGACAGTTAGGTATAGCACACAAGAGTGCGAATTACTTGTACATAGAACCAGGACCTTTCGATCTCAAATACATTGATAATAAAACTATTAATCAAATAAGTTGTGGTTATTTTCATACAATGTTTCTCACGAGTGATGACTGTGTTTATGGATGGGGTAATAATACGTTTGGACAGTTAGGTCGTGGACCAGGCAGTGATAAACCAAATGAGGATACATTTCGAGTGAATTTCGATCAAAATCACAAAATTAAAAGCATTTATTGCTGTGATTACTCGACATTTGCCATCACATCAGAGGGACAGGTGTTCAGCTGGGGTCGAAATGATTGGTATAATTTGGGACACAATTCATCGGATAATATATGGGAACCACAACTCATTGAAGACATGACTGGTATTAAGACTATCTGTTCCGGTGGTGGTAAAGCATACTTCTTATCCATCGATGGATTCATTTATTTTTGTGGACAATATAGGAATGAAAACAACGAATACTTGTTTCAAATATCACCAAAAGTATTAAACACTAATAAGAGGTTTACAGAAATGAATAAAATTATTTCACATAAGAATAATTTATCTCAGTTTAATGCTATAATGAAGGGAAAAATATATGATATTACAGACACAGCAAACAATTATATAATTGAAACAATTTATACAAATTTCTTGAACTGTTTCACAAATAATTTTCAAATGACTCATAAAACCATTGATTTGTGTGATTATAAGGAATATAATTATAAGAATCAGAAAAAATTTACTTTAAAATGTTTGGATTATTTGAAAAAAGTATTTTCATCTATAAAAGAGTTGTCAAACAATGGTATGAATTGGTTTTAGGTGTCATTAATAGAGTACAGCCAGTCAGGCATTGATTTCACGACTAACACATTTGTATCGATAGTATTGTATTATTATTATTCGCAAAGTTCAACATAACTCGCGTAGTTTAAGATCTATTGAGTAATAACTTAATTTACTGTATAATTAAAGCCAAATTTGCAAGATTACAAAAACTAATACATTTTACAATTGTCTCTTTCTGTCAATTTAATGACCTTTCAAACAATTAAGTTTTCTAAACAAATTATTTAAATTTTATTTATGCAAAACTGAATAATTAATTAAATTTACTCATTAGTAAGCTTCTGACTTATCCCCTCTCCTCTGTGTACGTACTTTTGAATGACATTTAAACAAAACTGGATGAATGAATGAATTTATTTATTTTGTCTTATAGTTGTTTCCGAAGTCAATGATTACAAGCGTTTGTACGAAGAGTTGCATTCATTAGGTTCGGGAGCTTTTGGGGAAGTATTTGTTGTTAAACGTAAATATGATGGACAAGAATATGCGGTTAAGAAAATAAAATATGAAGGTAATTAAATGTATAGCNGAATATGCGGTTAAGAAAATAAAATATGAAGGTAATTAAATGTATAGCAATTATTTATTATAGGAGTACAGTATTAAAATGTATTTTCACAGATAACCAAAATTTATTGGAATGTTACGAAGAAATGATAAAATTGATAAAAGTTAGGTCAGAATATTGTGTCCGATATATCAGTCAATGGTATGAAGGAAATGTGTATTACATTCGTAAGGGGTTGTGTTCCCATAGTCTGCAAAATATTCTTCAACACAAACCACAAGTATTTGGTCGACAACCGGGAGAACCCGGAGTGAGATCTAATCGTATATACCCGTAGGCAGCCTTTGTAGCATCAGTATAACTATCAATAAAGTAGTTCATATTTGATGGAAAGACTTGTCTAGCTAATGAGGTTACTTGAGTTTTATCACGAGGATTTTTCAGTAATATTATATAATGAGAGTTTAGGCTAATTGTTCGCATAGATTTTGAGTTGTAAAATAGATTTTGTACCAAAAAAAATACTGATATTTAAATGGTGACTTTTTAATGAATATATTTAAAAATTTGGGATCTTTGGTTATCTCATTGAGTAGATCGTCAATCACAACGATGTCAGGCTTAGTCTTATTAATTACGTCCTCTTTTAGTAAGCCTTCTACATAAGCTACGTTTATATTATTATCTATTTTAACGTCAATCAAGCTATGAAACTGTCCATAACACCATAGTATATTGTAATATCTTACCAGATTTTCCCGCCCATAGCTCCCATTTACTGTAAAACCCTCCCACTAAGCCCTAACCCATAGAAAAATTCTTTTACTTATATAACACTATGTGAACGTAATACTAAGGAGTTGTGCTGTAGCCCTGAAAGTGCTAACTTCAAGGGTTTATACCTTTAATATGTGTCTAATAAAGAAATTATTCTTTAAATCGTGTAAATTATTTAATTATTCTAATAAAATTAGTACAAATCCCTACTCACCGGTAATATAGAGGATTGGAGAGTAATTTCTATATTACAATATTTACTTTAGTTTTATTTAAATTGTTAAAAAGTAACTTGTAATTTTTTAATATTCGTCTCAATAACAGGGTTTTTCCTGAACCAGTCATCCCAACAACTAATGTATTACTTGTATGTTTGAATTGAGGGTTTTTTATATCAAAATCAATTTTATCTACAGATTGCATAGTTTGGATAATTGGAATATTTAATACAGGTCCCTCAAAACGAGTGGTTATTATTACTATATAATTAATAGTAAATAAGACAGCCAAAGCTATAAACAGGAGCCATATTTATTTTTCTATTGTTTTAAATATACTTTCTATTATTACAATGAGGGTAATGGTTACTAATAGAGCCGGGTTGAATGTTACTTTCCATATCTTCTAACATTTGCAATAACTTTATTATTAATAATACAATTAAAATACATAACAAAAGTGTACGCATATCTTCGTTTCTATCCATAGTTATATCGTAAGTCATAAATATTTCTATTATTAATTTATTTTGAATAAATTATCCAATTATAATAGCTCTATAAGTTATAATAGTATCAATAATATTTAGGTCAAATACGTATAGGTGAGCCATCTGTACTATAGGGAGGGTAAGGGGAAGCGCAGGGAGCGCAATGAGGCGTATGTACTATAGGGAGGGCAAATGGGGTGCAAACAGGTATGGTTATAAATTTACATTACAATATACATTTTTTTAAACAAAGGATTAATTAATTTTATTTGGAGATCATGGTCATTTATCAAAGGGTTTATTACCACAATACGGCCTAAAATTTAGCTATATAAGCTTAGTGAATCTGTGGTAAAAGTATCAATAAATTTTCAAACTTTAAAAGCTTTAAACCTTTAAAATCTTGAAATGCCTAGAGGAAGACCATGTAAAGTAAAAGTATTAAGGTAAGTTAAAATATTATTAATAACTATTTTAATTAATATATTGTTTTCTCTCTTTTTCAGTGAACAGGTTATGTGCCCCGTTTGCTTGGAATATGAAAGTAATCGATTGCCCTGGTCATCATATAATATGCTGTGCTTGCTACGTTGGGGATAATGCTCGGCAACGAACCCTTTATGCCGAATATAATGTGGGGCCTGGCTACCGTATATGCCCGGTATGTCGGCAAAGAAGTGGCCCTGATATCCGACCTGTTGAGGATTGGATGTATGTGGTGGCGGAGGAGGGGGAGGAGGAGGATCAACCAGATCCATTTGATTATTTGTAGACTCCATAACCTAACCTACCCTGTAATTTTTTATTTGAAAAAATAAAAATTGAATTTTTGAAGGAATTTGGTTTGTTTATTTGGGGCCTGGGGTCAAGCCAGGTCAGCCACTATATCAGTATCCTCCTACTGGAGTGAGTTAGGTTGGTTAATGGCCAGTGAGTGAGTCAGTGGCCAGTGAGCCTTATTAATAATTATGTAATTAATTACACTATTTACACCGTTTTAAATTGTATAATTATCCTTGGTGATTACCCATTATTTAAGGCGATTAGATAAACAGATAAACAAATTGTTTGTACAATTTAAGATTTAATTTTGGGTTTTGAATGACCTTATACAATTAATTTAGCATATTTTTACAAATCAATTATTCAGTTCAAGAATTATTATAAAAATTATTTAATATATATTATTATATGAGAGTTATTAAAATATTTTTAACTTTCATCTTATACAGTACTTTTTGTTTATTTAAATACTGTTTACTAATAATTTTATTAAAACTACTCAGAATTATCTACCATATTTAAATAAATCATGTCGGAAGATTGACCGACTATCAAGAAAATTTTATACCATTACCAGCATAAACTAAGCTTTCAATATAATATTGAAATGTCCTGAAATTATTT